TTTTATTTTTGAGACAGTGGTCTTGCTCTGTCACTCAGGCTGGAGTGCAGTGGCATGATCATGACTCACTGCAGCCTCAACCTCCTGGACTCAAGCAATCTTCCCACCTCACTCCCTCCAGTAGCTGGGACTACAGACGTTTGTCACCATGCCTGGTTAATTTAAAAAAAAATTTTATAGAGATAGGATCTCTTGATGTTTCCCAGGGTAGTCTTAAACTCCTGGGCTTGAGCAGTCCTCCTACCTTGACCTTCCACATGGTTGGGATTACAGGCCTGAGCCACCACAACTGGCCAGTTGCATCCTTCTGTAGAAAGGTCTGTAGACTGTGCATCCCAAAAATGTTTAGCAACAGAGACAGTATGTTATGGAAAGAGTTTTGGATTAGGAATCAAAAGGCCTGGGTTCAAATCTTTGCTCTTCATTAGTAACCTATATAACTTTGGATAACTCACTTAAAATCTGAAAAATAGGAAGGTAGTCAGGTGCAGTGGCTCATGCCTGTAATCCCAGCCCTTTGGAAGGCTGAGGCAGGTGGATTGCTTGAGCTCAGGAGTTTGAGACCAGCCTGAGCAACATGGTGAAACCCTGTTTCTACAAAGAAATACAAAAATTGTTAATAATTATTAACAATTAATGATAATAATGATAATAATTCCAGCCTGACCAACATGGTGAAACCCCGTCTCTACTAAAAATACAAAAATTAGCCGGGCATGGTGGTGCATGCCTGTAATCCCAGCTACTCAGGAGGCTGAGGCAGGAGAATTGCTTGAACCCAGGAGTCAGAGGTTGCAGTGAGGCGAAATTGCACCACTGCACTCCAGCCTGGGTGACAGAGTGAGACTCTGTCTCAAAAAAAAAAAAAAAAAAATCAATAGCTGGGTATGGTGGCATGTGCCTATAATCCCAGCTGCTTGGGAGGCTGAGGCAGGAGGATTGCTTGAGTCTAGGAGGTCAAGGCTGTAGTGAGCAGAGTTTGCACCACTGCACTTCAGCCTGGTGACAAAGCAAGACCCTATCTCAAAAACAAAAAATGGAATGTTCATGCTTATTCTGTCTGTATCCTTGGTGGTTATAGAGATTGTATTCTCCATGTTTCAGAGAATTATGAGGGACTATACTAATACAGTTATTAATTTAAAATTCTTTTCTAATGTTTAAAAATACAGATTAGTTCAGAAACAAGTGACTTTTCAGATGACATTTTTGAATTTCTGTGTATGTATGTTTCCCATTCTAGAAACATATGAACCTTCTGAGCACCTAGACCAGGTTCCCTGTAGCCTTACACGAGAACGAAGGAACAGTAGATCTCAAACATCCGTTGATGCTGCACTGCTGCCTACTCCCTTTTTCCCACTTTTTCTGGAGCCTCCATCATCCACCGGAGCCTCTCTTCAAGTAACCACATCTCCTACTTTCCAAGCCCATGGCAGTGTCCCTGCTCCAGACTCATCAGTTCATATTAAACAAGAACCCATGTCTCCTGAACAAGATGATAATGTGAATGCTGTGCCACAAGGCTCTGCCTGCAATGTGTCCAAGGAATTACTGGAAGCTAATAGTATGTAAGCTTTTCTCTGGGTTAAGGACATCCTAGTAGTGGGACTGGGGCATTTTTATGTGAGTGATAGAAAGCCATACTTGCCCATTAAAACTAAAGTTATTACAACTAATTGTTCACTGAAATTCTCTTCATATATACAGAAGGATTATTTAAAATATTTTAGAGAATATTATTTAAATATCTGTAATTTCCTTTTATTTCCTCTAATCTAGGGTTACTGAGTTGACTCGCAAAGTTCCATTTATTAGGAAAGGTACAAAATTTGTTTTGTTTGAAATAAACAGGGTTGAAGTTAATTCAGCCAATTTTCTAAATAAGGTATATCCTCTGAATTCCTTTGCACTTATTGTCTACATAATCTCAAATACAAACCAGGATTAATGGAAGCTTGAGAGGCAGGTGGCCATGATGGAAGGTAGAGGGCTTTTGGGGTTTGGAATCATCTAATAGAAACTTGATTTTGAGAAATAGCCAGGGTTTTCACTCTTTTCGAAAAATAGCACTCATCAAATGATAACTCAGCTGGTTATCATTTAAGAATAACTTCTAAGCTATTTTAAATCCTGTTAGAAGTTTGTGTTACCACAGTGGTGCTGTATTTGAAAATTAAGTCAAACAAACTGGCATTGTGTGGTTTCTTGAGTGAAGCAAAAAGTCTAAAAAATTACTCTAGATTTTACTACCAATACTGTGTTGCAATGTGATACAGATGTTAATATCAAATGCATAGCTTGCTTATTTATTTATTGAGACACAGGCTCACTCTGTCACCCAGGCTGGAGTGCAGTGGCACAATCACAGCCCACAGCAGGCTTGACCTCCTGGGCTTAGGTGATCCTCCCATCTCAACCTCCGGAGTAGCTAGGACTACGAGCGCCTGCCACCATGTCCGGCTAATTTTTATATGTTTTTTTGTAGAGATGGGGATTTGCCATGTTGCTCAGACTGGTCTTGATCTCCTAGGCTCACGTGATTTGCCTGCCTTGGCCTCCCAAAGTGCTTGGATTACAGGTGTGAGCCACTGATCCTGGCCTAGCATTTTTTTTTTTTTTTTGAGATGGAGTTTTGCTTTTTGTTGCCCAGGCTGGAGTGCAGTGGCGCAATCTCAGCTCAGTGCAACCTCTGCCTCCCAGGTTCAAGCGATTCTCCTGCCTCAGCCTCCTGAGCAGCTGGGATTACAGGCGCACACCACCATGCCTAGCATGAGCCACTGCACCTTGTCAGAAATTGATGTTTCTAAGTCAACAAATTTTTAACTACTAAAGTGTAGCTAAATTGGATGGGTATGGATAATAAAAATGTCAGAGAAATAAAAGTAGAAGCACTTCACCTAAGTAGATGTTTAAGTGTCTACTAAAATAAAACACAATGTTAAATATGTGGACATTTAAAACAGGAAAAAAGATAGAAACAATCCCTACCCACAAGGAGCTTTTGTAGGGAATAAGACAGACACAGTGTTTGTGAGATTAATGCAAGACAGAGGGTAGTAAGTGCAATAATAGGAGTGTATGTAGGTGATGGGAAACTGAGGGGTGGGATACCAGCTGAAACAGTCATGGTTGTGTGAACATATCACTGAAATATTAGGTAGAGTTTCAATCAGTGATAAATTGCAGCAAACACAAAAAAGGATGCAGTAATTTTTTTTCCTCTCAATTCAGGAGAGATCAGTGACAGTTTTCCAGTTTATCCAGTCATCACTGCCAGATTGTCCTTATCAGAGTCAACAGAAAGTTTCCGTGAGCCTAGCCAAGAACTGAAGTCTTCTGTGGAGCAAAGACATACCAGAAACAGAGAAAACTCTCCCTCTTCCCAATCAGCTGGTCTTTCTAGCATAAATAAAGAAGGGGAAGAGCCAACCAAAAGCAATAGTGGGTCTGAAGCTTGTACTAGTTCTTTTCTAAGATTGTCTTTTGCTTCAGAAACCCCTTTGGAGAAGGACCCCCACTCTCCAGCTGACCAGCCTGAACAACAGGCAGAATCCACTTTGACATCAGCTGAAACTAGGGGAAGCAAGAAAAAGAAGAAGCTTCGGAAGAAAAAAACTCTACGGGCTGCCCATGTTCCTGAGAATAGTGACACTGAACAGGATATTTTGACTGTTAAACCTGTAAGGAAAGTAAAAGGTGGAAAGTTAATTAAAGGGGGGAAAGTAACAACCTCCACTTGGGAAGACAGCAGGACTGGTCAGGAGCAGGAGAGTGTCAGAGATGAGCCAGATAGTGACTCATCTCTGGAAGTCCTAGAAATTCCTAATCCTCAGTTAGAAGTAGTAGCTCTTGATTCTTCAGAATCGGGAGAAGAGAAACCAGACAGCCCATCTAAAAAGGATATTTGGAACTCTACAGAGCAAAACCCGCTAGAAACTTCTCGTTCTGGGTGTGATGAAGTTAGCTCTACTAGTGAAATTGGCACTCGCTATAAAGATGGCATCCCTGTAAGGTAAGAATATTGTATTGGTCCAGTCAGAAAAGCTTTCAGCAACGTTATTTTTTTAAATAGAATTTTAAATTATGAATCACAATTTCTTTAAAAATCAAAATTTATGTAAATGCAGTAAGGATTGTGGATATGGAAAAATGAGAGGTTGGCAGTGGAGATTTTCTGCTTTCTCTTTTGACTGTGTTATAAATGCTCACTCTGCTTTTATTTCCCTTCACTTAGAAATTTCAGATGGAAAAACTAATGTCTTATTGCTACTTTGCCCATTGTTTTGAAAAATCATTTGAGTCAGGAAATTTTTACTTTTACTACCCCCCCATTCACACAGATGCTGAGAACACTTTTGCTATTATTTTGTAGTGTGGCAGAAACTCAAACTGTGATCTCCTCCATAAAAGGATCAAAGAATTCTTCAGGTATTTGCTGTTCAGTTTTATTTAAATTAACCACAGAATGAAAACACTTGTAAATATTAAAGCCAGGATTTAAACCTACTTAAATATATTTATAGAAAAGGAGAATGGGAGGGGTGTATCACCAAGAGGATTACCTTGATTAACAGTTCTGATGTTCCTAAAACCTCAAATCCTGGTCTTTCAGATTCTGTTCTCATCTGTCTTATTGATTGATTGATTGACTGATTGAGACAGAGTCTTGCTCTGTCATCCAGGCTGGAGTGCAGCATGATCTCAGTTATCCTGCCTCAGCCTCCCAAATAGCTGGGACCACAGGTGTGTGCCATCACACCTGGCAATTTTTTTTTTTTTTTGTATTTTTAGTAGAGACAGGGGTTTCACGATGTTGTCCAGACAGGTCTCAAACTCCTGACCTCAAATGATCCTCCTGCCTCAGCCTCCCAAAGTGCTCCAATTACAGGTGTGAGACACCACACCTGGCCCTTCTCATCTGTCTTATCTGGTTCCCTTATGTGCTCAACTAATTTGTATTAATGTTTCATTGGCTCTAAAGATTTTTGCTTTGAGAAGGAACTGCTTAAGGAATACTACCTTACTCAAAGAAACAACTTTTTGGAAGTATGGGAGAGATTGGGTACCTTCCAAGTATCATTCAAAAGCTCATTATATATTATTATTATCTTTTTCCTGAGTGAGAGTCCTTCCCTTCCTTTGCTTATTATGCCGTCTTGTTAGTGAAGATGTTTAATGAAAATTATGGTAGTCTGATAGGGGAACTAAGCTTTAAGGGGATCTATTTTTGGTTTAATCCAGGGACCACTGTATTGTATAATAGTTCTGATTTTTTAGTATCTTTTTAGACTGTAGCAGACATGTCTCTGAAACCTATTCTTCTTGTTTTCCAGAAATATCTTCAGAGCCAGGAGATGATGATGAACCCACAGAAGGAAACTTTGAGGGGCACCAAGCTGCTGTAAATGCAATTCAGATATTTGGGAACTTACTGTATACCTGTTCAGCAGATAAAACTGTCCGGGTTTATAATCTGGTGGTAAGTTGATATAACATGTAGAATGTTTTTGGTTGAAGGTTTTGGAAAATCCAGTTTATACTCTTTTAAACAATAAAGGGAATTTGTTGGCTGTCTGGAGGTAGGGGTGGGCCTTAGATTGACTTTAGATGGCTTTAATCCAGCAGCTCAGCAAGGTCATTGGGGACTTGATTTCTTTCTGTTTCTCTACTATGCCTTCTCTGGTATCACCTTTTTCTAAAAGCTAGTTCCCCTCCTGCTCACAAGGTAAATGTCAGGAGCCACTGGGGTTTCTTTTCGCTTCCGCCAGTACAAAAGGGTCCTGTGTTTTATTCTCTGAACGATCACCTGTGGTAAAAGGGGTTGGGATTACACCAGTGGTCTTGGACTGTTCAGGTCTCAATCCTGGAGTTGGTAATGAGGTCACTTGCATAGCAGCTATATAATAGAGGAGGGATGAAGTGAATATTGGGAAAGTATTGGAGGAGGTGTTTTCCCTGGCCAGTGATTGATTACAGAATCCAAGTTATTAAGGAGAGCAACACTTTTCCACTACCTCACACTTAGTATTATCTGGTGCTTGTTACTCTCAAAAGAATGAACTTTTGATTTTTTAATTTGAATTTGTTAATAAACTAATTATGTTTATGAACAATGACAGCTAAGAAATTTGAGGACCGTTATGTTATCTGAATGAACACCATGAAAGTATTTAAAATTGCTGGAGTCAGTGAAAATTAAAAAGTTACATGATAGGCCAGGAAAATGTGTTTGCTATAGGTAACAGGTTTTGTAGATTCCTTTAGCTTAATGATATAAGGATTAACACAAATGACTGAAAGAAGGAAGCAATGCTACATCTTGGGGAACAGGATATCAAAACATGTATCTGTATGTATATATGTACATTCTAAATAGATCTCAGTATGTGCACTGAGATAACATTTGGAATGTACCCAAAAGAAGCAACACCACAACCACTAGACCTGTGATAGCACCTGACATGTTTTTGAATACTGTGGTACATTCTCACAAGCTGCTTATCAAATGCACATCTTTTGTGGGTAATTAGCTACAGTTTGGATTTGTTAGGTCCTTGGTCCATATGTCAGAAAGCTTTGCCCTAAACATTAGTTAAAATTCTGGCTATCTTACAGTGAATTGCCATAAGTATTTTTTGGTATGGCTTAACTAACATATAGTTTCATATACCTGATTGCATGTGACTGCTGGGCATTTGGTGAACATACATGCAATGAACATCTTTTGTGTACCAGGTGCTATTTTAGACACTGAGAATACAGCAGTGAACTAAATGTTTTAGCATCTTTTTGTTGAGAAAATTTATTATCTAATCCTCCTATATCTCATAAGTAATAATCTGGTCTATGCTTAAACTTTAGAGTCGGAAATGTATTGGTGTCTTTGAGGGTCATACCTCCAAAGTTAATTGCCTCCTGGTTACTCAGACCTCTGGGAAGAATGCTGCCCTTTATACTGGGTCCAGTGACCATACCATCCGCTGCTATAATGTTAAGGTAGGTGGGTCCAGAGAAATCCAAAGTGGTTCATGTTGAGCCGCCTTTGTATTTACTGTGTGGAGTGGAGATACTGTGGCAGGTGCTTTATTTTACCCACCATCTCCTTTTTGCTTCTGAACAACGTTTAGCACACTGGTGTCACCTTAGGTAGATACGAGACTTGGACATAAACCATATTATCTGTCTGTCTCCACCAGTACTTTTTCACTTCCTACATTAATAATATACCTTCCTTGGTCTTTGCCACACATGTTATTCATATCATATGTCAAAATTAATCCTAGATAGAATAAAGAGTAAAATGTATAAATTTTTTAAATTTGCAGAATTAGAAATGGACATCTCCTCTGAGAGTTTTTTAAACTTAAATGCACTGAAAGAAATGAGAAAATTACATTTAAAATTATATATGATATGTTCTTAATTTCTTTAAAAGGTGGAGATATGTGAAGCAAAATTTATAACACTGTCATTAAGTTTATAACATGTGGATGGAATATGTGTGATAACAGGAATATAAAGAAGGGGGAGGATATGGAGCTGTGCTAGTACAAGGATCTTACATTTTACTGGAAATAAGTCAGTATTAATTTGAACTAGATTGTTATAATTTAAAAAATGAAATCCCTAGAGCCACTGGCTCACAATGTTAGTGTGCATCACATCGACCTGGACAGCTTGTTAAAGCACATATTACTGGTCTCCACTCCCAGAGGTATTTTTGTTTGTTTGTTTTTTAAGAGACAGGGTCTCACCATGTTGTTCAGGCTGGTTTTGAACTGGGCTGAGGTGATTTTCCTACCTCGGCCTCCCAAAATGCTGAAATTATAGGGTTGAGCCACAATACACTGCCCTTCTCAGAGTTTCTGATCCAGTAGGCTTGGGATCCAGCTCATGAATTTACATTTCTAGGCCAGGTGCCATGGTTTATGCCTGTAATCCCAGCACTTAGGGAGGCTAGAGCAGGAGGATAGCTTGAGGCCGGGACCTCAAGGCCAACCTGGGCAACATAGCAAGACCCTGTCTCTATGAAAAATAAAAATTAGCTGGGTGTGGTGGTGTATACCTGTAGTCTTAGCTGTTTGGGAGACTGAGGTAGGAGGATCGCTTGAGCCCAGGAGTTCAAGGTGATAGTGAGCTATGATTGTGTCATTTTACTACAGCCTGGGTGAGAGAACCAGACCCTGCCTCAAAAAAGCAAAA